GGCTACCTGATCAGGTACCTTGTGGAGCCCCAAGTGGGGTCATACCCAAAAAATCTGTTTTGACTAGAAGGGAAGGAATGGCAGTTAGAAGGTTATAATTAAGAATTAGAAATTACTTTTACCTACCTCCAAGCTCCAAATTTAGCTCAAATTAATTGAGAATAATTGGAACCAATGGACCTTGTGAATAATTTTACTATATAGAAGATCCATTGATTCTTAGTTATTATTTTACATGTAAAATCACCTAAAATTTTCTTCTTATGACCCATACAGATGATACCAATATCATGGTGGAAATATTCTAAATGTTTGCATGAGTAGATTTGGTGTTCATGTGATTGGGTGGTGCTTTGGTTTGGTCACATGAACATATAGAAAGACCTCTCTTGTAAGTTATTGGAGGGGTTAAACTCTAAAAGGCCAAGAGTACACCAAAAAAGACATGGATAGGAATAATAAAAAAATGATTTAAACATTTATATTTTAATAATAGATATGACATCAAATAGAATGGAATGGTGAAATAGGATTAATGTAGACAATCCGTATAGTTGGAATAAGGTTTAGATGACGGCAACGGCAACGACAATGATACTAGTGGAAATATTCTAAACATCAACCAATAGAGATTTGGCCTTCATGTGATTGGCCAGTGGTTTGTTTATATTTAAGGGATGTTTGTTGGTGGTTACAGCCCAAGTAGGTCCAAGAGAAGCCATGGTCTTTCAATGACATTAATGACAATAGGGGCTTTAGATTATAATCAAGGAGATTGGCTTTATACATTCCCAACTGTGCCAAAATTCAGGATTTCTTTTGTTAATTTAGGGAGACTGAATTTCGATAATTCTGAAAAAAAGGGTCAATATTCTTCTTGCCTTTTTAGTAGGAAAGCGGGTCAAACTGAAACAAATGGTGGTCACCTTTCCTCCATGTCACTCTCATTGAGGATGCATGATTCTGGTCATCTCTGGGGTTTTCTAGGAAAAGATACAAGGGAATGAAAGAGGAAAGAGCAGAAGCAAATTGGACCCACCAGCCACTTATGTATACATCATTCTGAATTAGAGATGCAGGATCGACCCTGTCACTTATGTTTACATTATCCAGAAGTAGAGATGCAGGTAGGGGTGGCTACGAGTCGAGCCTTTCATGAGTTATTCGAGTTCGGTTCAGTTCAGTTTAAATCACGCTTTGATCTAAATTTAAGTTCAATATATAGGTTCATTTGCTAATCGAACTGAGTTTAAGCCTAGTGAAATTTGGCTTGTGAGGTTCACAAGCATAGTATTAAATAAATAATTTTTATTACATACATACATGCATACATATAATAAATAATTTTATTATATATAATAATATTTTTTTTATATATAATAGTAAATAGTTTTTATAATTCTTATTTTATTGTATGTAAAATAAAAATAATTTTTTATAATTATTTTTTGTATATCTAATATTAAATACTTTTATAATTCTTAATTTTTTATCTAAAAAATAAAAAATAATTTTATACATATAATTTTTATTTTTCAAAAAAACTTGGCTTATAATTGAGCTCGAGTCAAGCCGCTTGCGAACTATGAACCGAGTCGAGATCAAGCTTAAACTCGAGCTTGATATTATTCCTACGAGCCGAGCTCGAATAGCCAAGTACTCAGCTCAGCTCAGCTCAAATCCACCCCTAGATGCAGGAATGACCCAGATGAAGGAGGGATTCAATCTCAAGTCTCCACTACAACTAACCAAAGACCTTACCAAATGAGCCAATTTTCACCAATGACCCAATATTTGAGATGGTCATTTTAGCATCACTTCCATGGTGGAGATGTCAGATTGACCCAGTAGAATGGCAGTCTCTTTGTGTCTGTGGTATGCCCAATGGGCCTTTTGTAATCAATTGATCCAAAATACCCAAAAGAGAAAAAATAAATTGAAGCTGAAACATTGATAAAGTGACATAGCTCAGTTTAATTTCCTTGCTTCTCCACCTTGTTCAACAAAATGTACAAATAGACAACTCTTCAAAGTGACCGAGGAGTTGAGGACCCAGTAGTCAAGATGGTGGAATGGTTCCCGTTTGTTTAGGAGGCATTGGATCAAACCCATGAATATACAGGCTCTCTGTGTGGTCAATGGGCCATGAGTGCACCCTGCTCTGCCCCATCCCGGATTTCTCTGCACCCAAAACAAAATTAGTTCTCTTTCAAAACCTCATCATCCTATACAAAAGATATCATCATCGTCCCTAAAAGGTTAGTTGAGGCTAGAAAAAAGTAACAAGCTTCTTTGGTATCTCTTTTATCACACAAAGTCCCCACCACTCAAAATACACCATCTAACCATGACTTCTTTTGACTTTTTTTATTGCACAATCTATTTGCCACAAACGTGATAAGACTAGACTCTTACAAGACATGAGGATGTGGCTGACTTCTCTTTTTATGATCATAATATATATATATATATATGAAGTGGCTGAACTAAATGCTTTAATGTTTGTATTATTTAGTGACTAAGTTATTAATGGCGGTTGTTGTCTACGCTCAGTTGGGAAGGAATACAAATACAGATATACAGATATGTACATGTAAAATCTTGTATTTTCTATTATTTTGTATGTATTTGTGTTTCACATATTTGTAATTGTACTTTTTCCAAATTGAGCCCCTATTTCATACACTTCAGCCATTATCAAATGGCCCCTTAGTAGTGGAGTTTGCATCTCCGCCCCACAATTGCCCTACACAATGTGTGACTAACACCTGTCCAGTTGCACGTGGTGGGGCATTCCACCAGTTAGCCCCAAAATGATCTCATTTGAGCTTCTCCCATATTCCCGCCCACTGAACCTCAAATCGGAGTCTTTGGCCTCTGTTCTAGCCCGAATTCGGATCTCCGCCCTCATCTCTGGCACCGACGATCGCTTTGGCCACTGTCACCAGGTATGCTCCAACCCTCGTTTTTTGTGTGGGTGTTTTTCATTTCAAGAAATTAGTGCTCAACCAAATACCAATGTCAGAGCGATCCGTCGGTGCCGGAGAGGGAGGTGGAAGAGGGTAAAAAAAAGTATCTAGTTTGAAATGAAAAACAAAACATTAAATAGGGTTTCTCTAGTTTGAAATGAAAAAACCAAACACCCACACGAAAACCGAGGGGTGGAACTTACCTGGTGACCGGTGCGATCGCCGGTGCCAGAAATGGGAGCGGAGATCCAAGCTTGGGCTAGAACGGGGTCAAAGACTCTGGTTTGAGGTTCAGGGAGCGGGAATATGAGAGAAGTTCAAACTTTGCCCTTTTGAGATCATTTTAGGGCTAACGGGTGGGACTAATGTCTGTCCCGTTAGTCCAACATGTGGGAACGCCCCACCGCATGCGACTGGACTGGTGTCAGTCACACGTTGTGTGGGGCGGAGATGTGAACTCTTAGTGGTGGTGCCCTTCAAGTTATTAGAGAGAGGCTTTGAAAATCAAGTGGCCCTTTGCTTTGGAGGAGACAAAACCAAAGATTTTGAATCCAGAATCAGCAAAGATGCTGGCAATTTGGAGCCCGCTTTCAGTTCAAAGTTATATAATTGCTGGCTTCCAATTTCCGTTTGCCTTTTTCCCTTTTCAACATGGACCACTTACAATAATCAAGGGGGGGTCTGAGAAATCTTATAAGGATTAGGAATCAATATTGGAAACCTAAAGTAGAATTATTTCAGAGATGTGATCAATTGGTACAAGACTTTGGCATGCTTTGGTGGCAAGCCATCGTTCCTTCAAACCAACCATCCTAACAGACAACTTCTCAACAAAGCATTCAACAGAAAATCTTGGTTTGATTCTCAATTCTAAGGCCCATCTCTTATTTATTTTTCTCCCAATGTGAAAACCAGACTGCCTCCTTGCAGTACTATTATGGGATCCTTCCTATCCCTTTTAACAAAAGTTCTAATAGAATCCTTTTCCCTTTGTTAGGGAGAAACTGACAAAAAATCACCCCCACTTCAAATCATAAACAGAATCATTTAATAAAAGGAAAAACTAAAAATATCCAAAAACATGCTTGCAATGGCAAAGATGGTGTTTGGTTGCTGTTTATTTGAAAGACGGCATCAGTTTATTGTCACATATGCATTTAGTAGGTGTTTGGCATCAATGCTGTATCCTTAGAAAATGGCGTTACATCGGCACCAATCAGAAATCCTTTTTTTTTTTTGGAAAAATGTCAGTTGTTTGGTTAGCCTTTTTTCCAAAAGGCTTTTTCTCATACCACACTTTGGAAATGAGAAAAGGTGTGATATGAGTGTTTATCCATTTTTTCTATTGTTGCTACCAACAGTATGCTGACATGACATTGAAAAATACCTATGTGGCAGCAACAACAAACCTAAGAAAACATTTTCTGAAAAAAAGCAGAATACTTATACAGCACTGTTTTCTGAGATACTTCCAAACACTGCCTTAATGTTTCTCCCCACACAAGGCATTTATTCACTGTTCAGCTTATATTGGCACCTAATGACATTTAGCTATCAAACAACATAGAAAAACACATTTATCAGCCACTTTTCTTGTTTTCAAGATAAAATTCATACAAAACATTTATTAAATAAACAGCCACAGTCCCACAAAGCCTCTCAAAATCTCAAGCTTAATATCAATTCCATCCCTCCCCACTCCCCACAGGCCCTAAGATCATGGACTTCTTTTACATCTTCATGGTCTCAAGTATGCAATTGTGAATCATATTGTAACTGATGAAGAAAAGCAAGATATGTTCAGAACAAAGATCAATCAATCCATCTCATTATCAGCAGTATTTCTATCTGTCTTTCTTTCTTTCTTTCTTTCTGTAACCTTTGCTTGGATAGTTTGTAGGGTAGTTTCTAATGCTTCTTCCTTTCTTTCTCTGGGTTAAAGATGGTTGGTGGCATTAAATTGCGCCGGCCGTGCGCACAATTGTTAAAGATGTTATTAATTATAAAATATAAATGGAAATAGAGAAAAGCGCCCCCCTTCCCCAAATACATTTGAATCAAAACAAAGCAGGCTAACGGGCCCCTCCTGGCATTTCCAGCGAAACTCAGAGGCCAGTGCCACCACCTCAACAAAGAAACCCATCATTGCACCAGAAAATTTTCAGCAATCACTCCACACAAATCCCACGAAATCTTTTAATCCTTCTTTCTCTTAGAACCCAATTCATATTGAGAGAGCTTTCTTCTTCTTTTTTTTTTCCCTTTTTCTTTTCTATCTTTGGCCCTTAATTAATCTCTTGGAGAACTGTTAAGGGGTTGCACTTTGTGTGATGACGGGCTCTGTGTGAGGGGGTGGGTATTGGGTTCTGTTTGCGACTTTGATTTGATGGGGAATTGCTGGTGTAGGTGGAAACCATCCATTTACAGAGTATCATCTAATGTAAAGTCAGGTAGGATCTTGGGCCCTTTGCTTTTCCTTCTTTTGCTTCGTACTCTGCAATTTGGTTTTGGGTTCTCATGGCAACTCTGAGGTGGGCTTTGTTTTTCTGAGAAGTTGGAGGTGGTTGTTGTGTTTTTATGCCTCTACAGATTGGAACTTGGATTGAAACGATTGAACTCTGTTTTTCGACTCTGCTTTTATTTGTCCTTGGATTCTCCTTTGCATCACTCTCCGGCGTGTTTTTGGTTTGCCTGTTTGTCAGAAAAAGGAAAAAAAATCAATATGGTTTATGTTTCTTTTGCCATCAGGTTGAAGTGAAGTTCTCAACTGTTGGATATTTGGTTTTTGCTTTGTATTTGTTTTTGTTTTTCTTCTCTTGGTCTTCTGCTTAGTCTTCTTCGCAGAGTCAGACCACTTTTCTTGAATCTTTTCTTGCTTTTTCTGTGATCTTCTGGTTCTAAATTAACAAAAAAGGTTCTCTTTTCTTTTTCTCCTTTATACTCACTTTTTAAAAGTTTGGTCTAGTTTCCTATAACTGGGCTCTGCTTAGAATTGGCTTTTGAATCTGTCTTCTAGACTGAATTTTCTCATACTTAAACTAATATCATTTTGATGCTTATTCTAAAAGAGAGATGTTTTATTGTTATTTTTTCTTTCTGGTTTTTCATCTGTTTTGAGACTGTTATCTGTTTCTCTTTATTTTCTTTGTTTTTTTTTTCCAGAAAAGCAGTGAATTATGCTTCTTATCCCATGTTTTCTTCAATTTCTTTATATAGTTATATTTTGTCTTTCCAGAGTCTCCAAAATACCAAGCCCCACCAGTGAGGGAAGGGAAAGATGGCCAGAAGTTGCCTTCCAATCCTGAAGAGGTTGAGGACCTACGCCGTGATTTTGCTGCAAATCCACTGATTGCATTCTCTTACAATGAGCTAAAGATAATAACAGAGAATTTTAGGCCAGATCATGTGTTGGGTGGAGGAGGATTTGGAAGTGTTTATAAAGGACACATTTCTGAGGATTTTAGGGAGGGGCTTCAGCCCCTTCAAGTAGCAGTCAAGGTTCATGATGGAGATAACAGTTTTCAGGGCCACAGAGAATGGCTGGTACTTTTTGTCTTCACTTCTGTTTTTGGGTTGCTCTATTTTTCTCTACTATTCTTTGGAGATTATTTCTCTTTCAGTTCTGCTAAGAACTCGATGGGTTTGTAGGCAGAGGTTATATTTCTGGGACAACTCTCTCATCCAAATTTGGTTAAACTCATTGGATACTGCTGCGAAGATGAACACCGAGTACTGATTTATGAGTATATGGCCCGGGGTAGCGTGGAAAACAATCTTTTTTCAAGTAATTTTCCTCTGATTCCAGAAACAGTTTGATGATAAAAATACCTCTTTTACAGTAGAACCAAACCACATTAAATTGCTGGCAAGATGGTCCAGTTATGGTTACACAAATAGCAGACTTACAGTAGTCACTAGTCAGCAGTGCAAGGAGATCATTACTGATTGAAATGTATGAAAAGGAAATGACAAAGGCTAACTAATTGACTGGTCTCTCTCTGCTATTAATTAAGACTTAAGGGTGTCTTTCTGGCCTTATTACCCTTTTTCTGTGTTTTCCATCCATGCCCATCATTGAAAGGTTTTGTTGGTAGATCAACTACTATAAAGTTTGGTCTACCAACAACTGATTTCAGGCACCCAAATAAATGGCTCTGTGTGTCTCCTTAATATTTCCCTGGGTCTTAATTTCTGATGAATTACTTGTTTTGATTGTTTTGGCAGGAGTATTACTTCCTCTACCTTGGTCCATCAGAATGAAGATTGCATTTGGTGCCGCCAAGGGACTTGCATTTCTGCACGACGCCGAGAAACCAGTTATCTATCGCGATTTCAAGACATCTAATATACTGCTGGATCTGGTCAGTATTTAAACCACAATTCTGAAATGGCTGCATTGCTGCTACCTTGTTTACAAAATGTAGGCTGTTGTAATCTGATAAGTTACATACTTAATTAGACAGTTAGGTCCTGTTTGTTTGTTGGTATTTAGCGCCGTGCACGCACACCGGGGTAACTTGTTGAAACCAATAAGTGCTCTCTCTCCCTCTCACCTCTCTCTTTACCCAGGTAACTTGTAGCATACAAGAAGGCTGGAAACCCGCTTATACGGGCAAAAGTTGTAAGTAAAAACGAACAAGGCCTTAAAAGAAAATAATCAGTTAATTACTGATCAAATATCTAAGACTGGTATGGTGCTTGAAAAATTAAAAAAGAAAAACAGAAAACCTAGAAATCCAATTCCACCAAAAGTTTAATCATTAGTAATGTTGAATCCAGTATATGGTAGATCAAGATTGCTTAATTTAGAGTTGTCTCTTCAATCCTTTTTGTAGAATAATATATCATGGAATTCAGCCAGCTTTTGGGTTGGCTTATAGGGTGTCCATTTATGTTGTCATCAGGACTACAATGCCAAGCTTTCTGACTTTGGGCTCGCAAAAGACGGACCCGTGGGTGATAAATCTCATGTCTCCACCCGCATCATGGGGACATATGGATATGCAGCTCCTGAATACATAATGACAGGTCAATTGTCAATTATCAATTATCAAGCCCATCTGATCTGAAACAGTTCTCTGTATTAATGCAATTCAGTAACCAAGGAAACAACCTGCTGTTCATCATATATCACAGGCCATTTGACTCCCAGGAGCGATGTCTACAGCTTCGGAGTTGTTCTTCTGGAGCTTCTCACAGGCAGAAAATCTCTAGACAAGTCTCGGCCAGCCCGAGAGCAAAACCTGGCTGATTGGGCCCTCCCGCTGCTGAGCGAGAAGAAGAAGCTGCTCAACATCGTGGACCCGAGATTACAAGGAGATTATCCCGTCAAAGGTGTCCACAAGGCAGCCATGCTTGCCTACCATTGCCTCAACCGCAACCCAAAGGCCAGGCCACTGATGAGAGATATTGTGGACTCTCTCGAGCCTCTTCAGGTTGCTGTTGACGACGTACCTTCTCCTGCTTCGTATGTCATCAACAATGGCGTCCCGGCTGCAGAGTTTCAAACAAGAGAAAACGCTTGACAGACTGAGATTGAATGATTGATGATGACTACAGCAGTGCTTGTTTTCTCTTACTGTTTTTCTCAAGCTTGGACGTCCACACCAATCCAGCAGTCTGAAAGGAGAATTGAATCTGAATGGGTTTTCGTAAAAGAACAAATTAAATGGGTTTTGCCATGGGAAGGAGATGGGTTTTGATCATCTCTTGCTGCCAAAACAGAGTCTATATATACTAGTAAATTGCAATTGTATCATATTATCATGGGCTTGGGGAATATGTAAACAGCTTAAACTCTAATTATATGCTTCTCACAATATTTGTACTGATTAATGCATGCACCACAAATTAAGCCTCTGTTTGGTTTTGATAGAAAAATAATTTAAGACCCGTCCGTTTTTACTTTTCCTGGGTATTCAGGGCAAGTATTTCCCAAGTTTCACTTGCCCGGATAATAGGGTTGTTCATAAGAAGGCCCAACCCGACCAAACCGACCAACCTGGACCGAGTCAACCTGAGTCGGCCGGGTTTTTATAAGCACGGGTCGGTTTCAGGTTATGTAAATTCCTAAACCGATGATTCGGGTCGGTTTTGGTTTTCACACAAGAAAACTGAAACCGACCCGAACCGAACCAACTTAGTTCCTGGTTCAAACATAAAGTTCCAAAGCCTATTAGGCCACCTAGTTTTTGAATGGTTACAAGAAACTTTGGATTAGTGAATAGTGATTAATGAACAACTTTTGTGATTAACTTTTCATTTAAATTTTATCATAGGAGATGGCTGAAATGATGTTCAATTTATGACTATTTTTAAAATTAGCAAGATTTTATCACAAGGATGAACTTAGAACCGAAACCGACCCAAACCGACCCAACCTGACTCAAATCGATTAGGTCGATTTTGCTTAACACTGGGTCGGTTTCAGTTTCTATGTCAGGTAACCCAATCAGGTCAGGTTGGTTGGAAAAACCATAGTAAACCAACCCAACCCGACCCGTGAATAGCTCTACCGGATAAGTTTGATTCCCGTATTATTGGCCTCAATAGGTTATACCCATGTCCCCATGTAAAGGGAGAGGCCGAGAAGCGGGAGGGAGAGCCCGTTATTAGAGTCAGTGTTTTGGTCTATGACTCTTCTCACCACCTTCATGCATGGGCTTCTTCCTTTCTACTCTGAAGACCAAATACCCACGGACTCTTGGTACCTGAAGAATATGATTTCATCCATCATTTGGGAAGGTCCCAGCAGCTGGCCATCCCAAATAGGCCCATGAAGAAATAAGAATTCATTTTTGCTATGACAGTGTCGTGGTGTAGGGATATAAAACTTAAAATCATGGCCTTTGATATAAAACACAATACATATTATACGATATATATCGATACATTACAATATTTTGAACCTTAATAAAGATAATACAGGCTGTTTGACATGAATAAACAAAGTTTTCTCTACAAGAATAGCCCACAGTATTAGAATTAATATGTATGAAATGATTAAATTTGTAGCTACAAACCTATGGATTTGAATAATATACAATTCACTCATGTACCAATAATATGATTTCATAGTTTTTTTATTCTTTTATTTTTATGAGGCTTGTTTCTCAATGTTATATTTCTAAAGAACCCCAGCTGGCACTACGAATACCCTATCAAGAACCAAGTGGTTGGTCTCAGACTTGGACCACCGAGCAATGATAAACCAATAGAAGACCAACTAATAAGCACATGGTCATTACTAATAATACATCAACTAAGCAACTGGAATGCACCAATTTGCATAGCTAGCCAGTAGCTTGCTAGCTCTATTCAAAATAGTAAGAGGGATCAAGTGATCAATTATAATTTATATATAAATAATTAAATACGTCTGTACGAGTATTAATAAAAAAAATTGAAAGTAGAGATTAATTGTTTAGAATATAATGATTCCTCATGAACAGCCTGGTTTAGACTGTGGACAATTTTTTTTTGGGTAAATTAGGAATATATTACAATCATTATATTACTTAGATGGTTAGACCATTCGGCTCAGGAATCGTCCAAGTAATCGGTTCCATTTTACCCCAAATCTGGTCCTTGGCTAAAAACCATTGAATCAGTCAATGATTCGTTGATTCGGGCAATCAAATCATCGACCCATTAAATTGTTTTTAACTATTTTTTATATTTTAATTTTTGTTGTCAGAATGAACCATTCATTCGAATCAGATGATCGAATCATCGACCAGAAACCGGTGCCAAATACACATTAAATAAAATAAAACCTGAAGTAAAAACCCATATGGTCAGGGTTCTTGTAGTTTCAAATGATTTTCAATTAAAAAAATACCATGTTTCAGAGAACAAGATTTTCAAGGTTAATACCTTGGATGTTATTAGAATTGGAGTTAGGTTACAGTTTGAATATTAAGGTTTGGTGGGAAGATGAGAAGTCTCGGTTAGGGGATGTGTTCAAATGGCATGCCTATAAATAGGGGCAGTTTTGTCATAAAAAACATTTATGGAATACATCTTGTAAGTTTCTCATATTAGAAATTAAATGGTGCTAGAATCCAAGAAAAAGAAAGAATGTAAAGGCGAGAGGGGATTAAGAATCAAGTAATAAGGACGGTCCAGCAGGAGAAAATTAAGGGAAAGTTTCTGAAACCTTTCTCAAGTTTCGGACCGTTGCTGATGAATTTTCCGACACAGTTGTAAGTAAACCCCCTTTTTTAAAATTCTCTTACAAAATGCATGAAAATGTCCAATATATCCATATAGTTACTATTGAGGTTGGTTTCTATAAAAAATAACACAAACTTTATCAATAATAAAAAAAAAAGAGCTTACCTTTGAGTGATTGATATGAAGGGAAATTTTAGAAAAAATAAATCATTTTGGAAAATATTAGAAAAATTTGGGGTAGCAATTGATATGAAGAGAACAATTGAAAAATAAATATATTTAGACATTTGCATGCCTCTTGTTAGAGGATTCTAAGAAAGAGGGGATTTACTTGCAAATGTGTCAAAAAGTTCAGGAAAGGTGATTGCAATTAACAAACTTTATGCGAGATTTCAATAACAGTCTGAAACTTCAGAGGAGGTTTTGTATGTATTTACACTATACATATTTGCTGAATCAGCACAACACTAAAACCATATCGTAAGAAAGCAAAAGACGTTTGCTCCAAATATGGAAGCAAGGTATAAACCCACATCAATGAAGTGGACCTCACATATACCCTCCCTAAACCCACATCAATGAATAAGAAAAGCTTGTTGTTCCTTACATTAAAGCCTGTTTTGCCTCATTTCCACCATACCCCCAAAAGCCCCAAACCCTAAAAACACACATAGATCATGCCCAAAGGCTGGTGCTGCTATGTGGTCTCAAATAAAAGCAAATAAATAAAAGCACTTTCCTAATTAGGGCTGCAAGCTGGGTTCCCTGATTTGAAGAAATTCAATTATATTGTATTAAGGTTCAATCGCAAGCCTATTGAAAATTTAAAAAATTTCCAATCCAACCACACCCATTTTTCACCTTTATCTTTAACCTTCGTATACCCAAACCTGAATCCTATAAATTGAAAAGCACTTGGGATGGATCACTAATACTTATTGGCTTCATAGAGCTACACAATTATGCACGAATTGATCTCAAATCTCTGCTACAATTAGGGATGATCATTTTTAGGCTTAAAGTAATTATGGTTTTCGAACTGCTGTTGATCCGGATAATTAGATCATTCGGCCTAGAAACCATCTAGGCAATCGGTTCCGTTTTACTTTAACCGGTCTTTGATCAAAAACCATTGAAAAAAGTCAATAATCCATTAACCCAGGCGGTTAAACTGTCGACCATTCAACCATTTTTGGACCAAAAAATCGGTGGCCAAAATGATTCCATTTCCAGATATTATTTTGAATCATGATAATAATAATAATGTTTAGAATCAATGCCATTTTTTCAAAAAATAGTGATGAATAAAGAAATGGCATTTTTCAATGTGGCATCAGTAAATCATTGTTATCGATGGTATAACAATGAGAAAACGCCAAAGGGCATTTTTTAAGACCATGTTTTTCAGATTTCCGAGGTATGGTCTGAAAAATGTTTTTTTGGGAAAAACACCCAACCAAATAGATATTATTTTTTCAATACTGAAACTCCTATGCGTTCATCTCTCATAAGCACCTGAGCACATCTTAGCTCCATCGTACAGTTGGGATAGGAGAGATGTTCGCGATGTACGGCTGAGAATTTCTATGAACACCTAATGGCTATTGTCATAGTGCCTTGGGAACTGAGGATAATGACGTTAATAGCAAAACGTCACCCCACGCATACGTGGCTATCTAACAATAAGCGTTCTTCACGAGGGAGTAGGGACTGCATTAAATGTGCCACCTAGATTCCAATCTGACGTTAGAAAGGTGGGACTACTAACTACATATTCTGTACCGTAGCTAATAGATCAAATCAAAGAATTAAAGAAGGAAAGAAAAAACCAAAGAAACTATACTCTAGCCTCTGCTAGACTCTCGCCCAAGTGCCGACAAGTCTCTCTCTCTCTCTCTCTTCTAGACTGACCAGTTTTACCTTCCCAGGTTAAGGATAGATCGGGACGACAAAGGAGCAGCCATGGCCGATCCTCCTTCAACCACAGCCACACTTCTGTATGCCTTCATTTCTCTTGTCTGTCTGTCTGTCTCTTTAATTTGCTCTCTTTATATTTAATCTTCTCCATTGTTTGCTTTATTCCACTAAAATTACAGAACAAATTTAACCAAAAAAGATGTGTTTAAGAGTCCCAAACAGTCATCCAAGCAACTCTGCTTGTTGGGTTTTCTCTTGTTTCTGTGAATGTAAATCCATCTGTGTACGTTGCTTGGTGAATGAATTTAGTAAGAGAATAGTCTGTTTACAGTTGCATAACTAGCCAGTCAATCGTCTGTTTTTCCACCATCAACCTTGTACGTCCTCCTCCTTCTCTGCAGCAAGACGTATGCTACTATATATGTCTTACTTTCTGCATTTCCAGACCTTAGTAGGTTTTCTTGTCTGAACTCTTCACTCCCAAATCATCATATTACTATGCTGCTAATTTTCTTATTTGTTTCTTTTATTCATTCAAAGAAGTAGTACTGCTGGAAGTTCTGTGGATACATATAGTTTTAGGGTAGATATGTGAGGACCTTCTGATCTGTACTTGTGAATAGGGGTGTCGTTATGGGTTGGACTCCGTCATTTGGATGGATTGGATGGACCAACAAGACATATTGAATTTGGACGGACTGGATGGATTAATATGACATATTGGATTGGACCCGGTCCATCCATAATGAATTTATATTGGATTGAGTCAATATATGGTCCATTGATAGAAGATAAGAACATAGGTGTCAATGAACCAGGTTTGAGTTGAAACCAACAGGAATTTGAATAGATTGGACAATCTCTACCAGTCCAAAATGGTCCAAAATATTCTGGATTAGACCAGGTCCATTTGTAATGGACTCATATTGAACTGGATCGGATTGGACCAAATCCAATCTAATTGACACCCCTACTTGTGAACATGTATAATTTGGGTGAATCCATGTTTGTATCTCAAGGTTGAGTTAATTATAAATGCTTGCTTTATTAACTCATGATATGAAGCCATTCTTCTACTCAAGGTTAAGTGCTCCAAGTCTCTAGAACCCACACCACACCACCTCCTCCTCTAACTCAGCATCATCACCATTAGGGATGGCAACAAGTAGTGTACCTATGAAAATTGCCCTTCTCATTCCTAAACCCACCTAGGTACCATTGATCCTGACGTAGCGCAATCCGGTTGCTCCTTGTAGGAGATGATCTGGCTACCAGCAACGACGGGCTCGATGAACTTGCAAGAGATGAATCAGAGAACCCGAGGGTGTTTACCCGGCGGGGTCGCTCCGATGCTTAAGTTAGCACTTGGTTGCGAGCTGAGAATGATACTAGATTGTGAGAGAGCTAGAGAGCCGAGATTACGCATATCTTCGCCCCTGGGGGGTGAGGCCTTATATACTGGAGTCCTCGCGGGTTTGGTGGAGTGTCCTGGATCCCCGCTGTGATGGGATCTGTTTCCGTGTTAGTTGGGCATAATGCCACCAATCGGTAAGGTTGCCCATTTCCGTCTGAACCGGGGAGTGGGTGAGCTAATATAACCATTACAAGGCACGATCCCGTAAGACACGGTGTACGGTGGTGAGATCCTTGGAATTATCATGCGGTGGTCAGTCTAACTAGGAGGCGAGCTACCTGTGAGGTACCAAGCTACTTGGTGGCGAGCTGCCTACTGGCGAGCTACCTATGAGGTGTCGGGCTGCTTGGTGGCGAGCTGCCTAGTGGCGAGCTACCTGTGAGGTGTTGGGCTATTTGGTGGCGAGCTGCCTAGTTGTCATGAGGTGCCATGTGTCACAATATCATTGGAGGGCCAAATCCACCCTCATCATTTGCCCCCCACTCCCGAGCTGAAAGTAACTCGGCGAAGGGAGTAGATTTCTTCTTTTGGCCCGAAATTCGATGAGCTCATAAACACTGATTCAATTCCTTAGTCTCTGGGAGCGACTCGTGGTCCACTCCTAGATTTTGTCCATGTCGAAGAGGCGACTGGGTCTTATGTGGTGCCGAGGTCTTCGCCAGTTCAGTACTTTAGCCCTTTGGCACTGGGAGCGACTTGTAGTCCAATCAACTTGATCTTGCTCATGCCTAAGAAGCGGCTGGGTCTTATGTGGTATTTTAGCCATTAGGCTCTAGGAGCGACTCGTAGTCTACTCTCCTTGATTTTGCCCATGCCGAAGAGGCGACTGGGTCTTAGGTGGTGCCGAGGTCTCCGCCAATTCAGTACTTTAACCCTTCGGCGCTAGGAGCGACTTGTAGTAATCCACTCTCCTTGATCTTGCTCATGCCTAAGAAGCGGTTGAGTCTTATGTGGTATTTTAGCCCTTAGGCTCTGGGAGCAACTCGTATTCTACTCTCCTTGATCTTGCCCATGCCTAAGAAGCAGTTGGGTCTTATGTGGTATTTTAGCCCTTAGGCTCTAGGAGCGACTTGTAGTCCACTCTCCTTGATTTTGCTCATGCCGAAGAGGCGACTGGGTCTTATGTGGTGCCGAGGTCTCCGCCAGTTCGATACTTTAGCCCTTCGGCGCTAGGAGCAACTTGTAGTCCACTCTCCTTGATCTTGCCCATGCCTAAGAAGTGGTTGTGTCTTATGTGGTAAGGAAGTCTTTTATCAGTTCGTCAGTTCGCACCTGGGCTAGGACGCCAGGTTGACACATGTGCCAGGTTGCCAGGCCGCCAGGCCGCACGCAGGCTGCGCCAAGCCTCGCCAGGGCGCCAGGTGGGCGCCTTAGAGCTATGATTGCGCTGCATCAGCCTTGTGATGCCGGTCACCCACTCCTACAAGAAGCTACTAGGAACTCAACCTTTGGGGGCAGTACCACTAACTTTAGGTCGCCAACTCGCAAGAGAGCCTTGGAAGGCTCGACTAGCAAGGGTGCCCATGTAGTCTATTGGCCGCCAACTCCCGCGGAAGCCACGAAGAGCTCATCTTTGTAGAGGGGACCTCGCGAAGAGGACTGGTGAGGTTTTATCTGAATTGAAAGTAAAGTTGGTAGAGCTGCTTAATTTGTTAGCTTTTTGCATAGTTTTTGAGTTCATAAAAAATGGAAACTATAAAGCGAGAGCTTTAGTTTCTAAAAAGTGAGGACCTAGCTTTCTAGGAGAAGAGGACTTCGTCGTTCAAAAGATGAGAACTAAGCTTTTTGTAGCGTATCCCACAGAATCATAGAGGGTTCAGCGAATGTCGCGCCGACTACAAGAGGGAGTGGCGCGTTCACTTGTGCAGTCACTTGGGGCATCGTCAACGCTAGGACCTCAGCCACACTAAGCGGTATGGTGAACTGACCTATGCAGATAGGCGGGAACTGAGGTTGCCCCCCGGAGACGTGCACTTCGTTGTTTTGTCCGGTGTTGCTAGAGGAAGCCATGGATTTGATTCTGAGCTTGAGATTTTTGAATGGAGACAAGGGCTTTTAGTAGCAGATTCCCACAAATGGCGCCAAATGGCGTAGCGCAATCCGGCTGCTCCCTGTAGGAGATGATCTGGCTACCAGCAACGATGGGCTCGATGAACCTGCAAGAGATGAATCAAAGAACCCGGGGGTGTTTACCCGACAGGGTCACTCCGATGCTTAAGTTAGCACTTGGTTGCGAGCTAAGAATGATACTAGGTTGTGAGAGAGCTAGAGAGCCAAGATTACGCATACCTTCGCCCCTGGGGGTGAGGCCTTTATATACTGGAGTCCTTGCGGGTTTGGTGGAGTAGTTCCTGGATCCCCGCTGTGATGGGATCTGTTTCCGTGTTAGTTGGGCATAATGGCACCAACCGGTAAGGTTGCCCATTTCCATCTGAATCGTGGAGTGGGTGAGCTAATATAGCCGTTACAAGGCACGATCCAGTAAGACGTGAGATACGGTGGTGAGATCCTTGGAATTATCATGCGGTGGTCGGTCTGACTAGGAGGCGAGTTACCTGTGAGGTGCCGGGCTACTTGGTGGCGAGCTGCTTGGTGGCAAGCTGCCTAGTGGCGAGCTACCTGTGAGGTACCGGGCTGCTTGGTGGCGAGCTACCTGTGAGGTGCCGGGCTGCTTGGTGGCGAGCTGCCTAGTGGTGAGCTACCTGGTGGCAAGCTACCTGTGAGGCGTCGGGCTGCTTGGTGGCGAGCTGCCTAGTTGTCATGAGGTGCCATGTGTCACAATATCATTGGAGGGCCAAATCCGCCCTCATCATATCCCAAACCTGTTTAATTTTTCCTCCCAATTTTCCAATCCCATTTCGTCCCAAACCTGTTAAACCTGTCATGACCCGTCTCACCTAATTATCATTTGGCATACTCTATTATTGATATCATTTTTCAAATTTGAAATTCACTTTTTTTTTTGAAATCCCAAAGCTAATTCATTCAACATTCAAAAAATCTAGTTACATAAAAGTCCAAGTGGACTTAAAAAATTACGGGCAGGATTCAAATTCAATTACCTTAGTTGATGCCATTAAACTCATCATAATTGATTCTATTTACCATAATTGACTCCAAAACTAGCCATATTTAAGTACAAATACAAATACATACAAAATACAAGATCCTCAGTTTGAAAGGAGTGCAAATACAAATGTGTAGAGTGCAAAACTCACATATTTATATTATTTTGTATGTATTTGCACTATACATATTTGTATTTGTATTCTTTCCAAACTGAGCCTAGGATACAAAATAAAATAAAAAATCATTTACAAATGACCAAATCTCTAGCCATAATCAAATCAGCTCTGAATTCTTTTGCCTCTATAATCTCAATGTTCCATTTAAGAGTTTTTTTTTGTGATTAATTTCATAACAAAAATGTAATTTTTCTACTATCACATTGCCAATATTTGTTAAACTTGGTTTATTTTAAACTTTGTAACATTTTATGTGATTGTTGATGAGATTTATAATATTAGTTTGTTAACCAATATATAAATTACACTTCACATAAGGTCCTAAGCTATTAAAATATTTGTTTCCTATGTATAGTGTTATTAGGGTTATATATTATATATAATTTATATATTTTTACTATATATTTGAATTATCATGGCGTATCCATATATATTGTATTATTTTCTCCATATCTATCCATATCCAATGTGTATCCAGAATCCAAATACATTTCTTTAAATTGTTTCTTCAATATTCTTTGCATTTTCCGATACTTTGGACCTTATACTCAAATTTACATCATATCATAAGTAAAGTGTAATGCCCTCTTAAGTAAAAATGGTGTGATAGGCTAGTGTTAAAAATACATATAATAGGGCACAAAGGCAAGGATTTGAATCCTCTCTCAACTCTTTTTTATTATGTATATTATTTCTTTATAAACTATATAAGATATATTTATTGATATATACAGATTTATAATTGGGCATCAGGAGTGGGTGCCCATGTTAAATATAATTGGGTTCAGGTACCAGTAGGGGTGTCAATTGGACTGGATTTGGTCCAATCCGGTCCAGTCCAATGTGAGTCTATTACAAATGGACCTGGTCCAATCCAATCCAGTCCAATGTGAGTCTATTTTGGACCGGTCCAAAGACTGTCTAATCTGTTCAAATTCCTGTTAATTTAGATTGGTTTCAACTCAAACCTAGTCCATTGACACCTATGTTCTTATCTTCTATCAATGGATCAGATATTGACTCAATCCAATATAAATTCATTATAGACGGACCAGGTCCAATCCAATATTTTATATTGGTCTGTCCAGTCCGTCCAAATTCAATGTCTTATTGATCCATCCAATAATCTGTCCAAATAGATTTTGATTTAAACGAAGTCCAACCCAAAACCAGTCCATTAACACCCTAAGTACCAGATATCCTAAGGTCAAAACTTGTGAAATTACCATCCCTAATCAACACCATAATGCAAGCTGGAACTAATTAAAGCCAAGATGGAATCTATTTCCCCTCCTTAATTAGTTTGCCTTCTTGGGTTTCTGTATAAATAATTTCATGAGTAAGTGAACCTCAGATATCCATGTTCATGCATGCATTTCATACATTACAGATATTCAAAAGTATGTTAGTGTTCAGCATTAATTTCTTGTTATACATGCTTCTAGGGAAGCTGAGGAAGGGTTCAGAGAAGACCAAGTGGTAGATAGAGAATGCACCAACTTGGTTATGCCAGAAGATGGGCACATCTGGAAAAAATATGGCCAAAAGTTCATTAAAAACATAGGAAAAACCAGGTAGAGTTTCTTTTTTTTTCCCAAGGCATGAAATTCAATTTTAAGGCTAATTTTGTTATATAATTATATGTATATATAACCTTTTATCGGTTAACTTTTGTCTTGCTCAGAAGCTATTTCAAGTGCCAAAGGACCGACTGTAGAGCCAAGAAACGAGCTGAGTGGTTGGCCTCAGACCCAAATAACCTCCGAATTGTCTACCAAGGGGTTCACAACCATCCCTCCTCCACATCTCAACTGAGTTCTTCACAGCAAGGTTCAGCTTCAGTGACCAACCAGTATAATTTGTTTACACAAGTGTTTGGAGATCAAGACAATCCCTCCTAGCAGGCTAACAACTTCTCTTCACCTATCTCATTCAATTCTCTTTCAAGTCTCCACCCCACTTTATTACAACCCCACCATGGTCACCAATAACTTGAACCCTAGGTTGTGTTTTTGGTATCGTTGTTGTTTCAATTTAGAACATTTTTTGGGTCGATCAATACAAATTGGTGAAAGATATGTATTGTTTATATCAAATATGAAAACCAATTGAGCTAGGGTGATTGAATTTCACCCCAAACAAGAAACACCGATTTCAATCATAAACATCAATGATCATGCATTTTTAAGATATTCCAATTTGTATTGATCAACCCAAATTCATGTAGAAATAGCAATGCTACCAAAACACAGCCGGGCAGCCCTATAAGCAGTCACTTGGCTGCAATTAGCAAGAAACAGATAGGTTCCACTGTCCATATTCCAAATGCTTCCATTCCATCCTCATATGTCTTTTCTCCTTTGGAAAATTTGCAGAATTTGGCCAAACAAGAGGCTATTAGATTAATTCATGCAAAGTTTAGATTGAAAATCTAGCCCAGACTCTAGTACATGAGCATTGATGTACTATTTCAGTATATATGAGATGTTGAAAGGTGCATTGGTGCATGGATGCTTGGAGTAACTTCTGTTTGATTGTCTCATCAATGTTGGCATCTGAACAAGCTCAGCCCTTTTTTCACAACCTCAAAATTAATCTGAATGGCAAAGTGTTCCCCCCAAACAAAGTAAACTAGCAATGTCAATTGCATCAGAATGATTTTACCCTCTGGCTGTGTTTGATTGCAGTGCAAAATGTAAATTCTTGTTTAATTTTGTTTTGGATTTTACTTTATTCTGCTTCATATCTGAATTTACTTCATTTGTACTGTAATAAAAAAAATAAGCTAAATTTTGAAACAAAAATAGGTCAGAATTTACACTCAATTCATTTGCACTGTCATGGTTTTGCATCAGTACAAATTTATTGGCATTGCAACCAAACACAGTCTCTAGCACTTTTCTCTTTGTTGGTGGCTTCCAACAAAAGAGAAAAACAAGAAAGATACATTAACCTACTACTATTTAAGGAAAGAACAAGTTAGCCCTAGAGAAATTCTGAGCTCCTGAAGATCAGCCTAGTGGTTGAGAAAGATCCTAGCTAATTCTCTTTTGGAACCAATGATGCTTGATGCTTACCACTTCATGTCATGATCCCGGTTTTGCTTTACTGACTAGAGAAAACAAACTTTATTTTGTCCTCCAGACCATAACGCTAGTCCAGAGTTCAAAATGAAGGGAAAGAGAGAGAGAACCTCTAGCTTTGGGTTCGACTTGTCTAGTAGGGGTGATCCGGCTCTGCCTGAAAATTTATGGGCTTGGGCCTACGTTTTATGTTGAGACCCAACCTGTAATGTAATATGGGTTTATATATTGTGTAAATATTTTAATATGGCACATAAAATATATTACATATAATGCTTTTATTACATAAAACCGATAAAAGTATACACAAATTTAGTATACATTTTATGAAATATAATTAAAAAGCATATACAATATATCTAATATAATGTTATTTAAGTCATAGGCCCAGAAGCCTGTCCCACGCTGTCCAGGCCCATGTAGACCTGGACCTAGGCTTTATATTTCAGTTCAGGTCTGGGGTCCAGGCCTGGCTCATGATCACCCTTGTTGTCTAGGGACTGTGAAAATAACACGTAATTAATAATAGGGTTTGAGTATGATGCTGAAAAGACATAATATTACAAAAACTCGCAACCAATCAACCGACATCATAAAAACAGGAATCAATCAGGTGGATTTTCACCAAAAATTAAGCGAGGTTGTAATTGGTCAAAGCTTTTTTAGTATCATGTCTTTTGGCATTATAGATTTTTCCTTGATAATAGGATAAATCCCTATAAGGGATATTTCGAATCAGACCATGGTTCAAAGGGTAGCTGGGCCTTAAACCAACCCCTCTGAATCAGATTCGAAATAAAAAACACACACACACACACAAAAAAACATCACCTCTTAAATCTTAATTGCATGAAATTTCTTTCCCTTCGGGGGATTAGCTTTTTACCCCCTCTATTGCTCTTGACGAGCTAATGTGTCATGGTAAGCTTATTAGATTGCTACCCAATTCGTTTACATGCTTCCATCCTAATTTTTTTAAAATGGTTGAATCATACACACCAGTAGTCAGTAGACTTATTCATGGGACGGGTTCAGGTCGGGTTTTGCCTCTTTATAAACAGAAAATTACCAAATTTGAGCCCGAATATATAAAGCCTGAAATCCAATTTTGACAAATATTTTATAATATATTAATTATATATTATTAATAATATATTATATAATACTTTTTTATTTTTAATTTTACTATTATATATTATATATTATATATTATATATTATTTATATTATATATTTAATATTATTGACCAGGCCGGGCAAGCCCATCGGGCTACCCGACCCATAAACAAGTCTACACACTGGTCATCAAATTTCAACCATAAAATCCCCTGTCTATCATAAGCTAACAATTAATTACCCTAATTGAAAGTTAATAATCTAATTCGAATGATGGTATTACTGGAATTTGGTTTACAAAAGTCCAACTGATAGTGCAATAAGCATCATTAATTAGTTACTATCTTAAATCATCACGTATCCACTATTACTAGATTAGTTAAAAGAACGAATGTATTAGCTAGGTGGGATATTTAGGATGATTTCAACCTGATTTTCCAGGTATTCATTATGAGAAAACAATCTTATTATCTTAATTAGGGTAAATTTCAATTACCTTCCTTAAGTTTTTCAAAAGAATTATATGGACCTCTGGAGGCTTTGTTTTTCAAAAAATCAGTCCCACTATGATATCGAAAAGGCATGATAGCTAAAAAAATTATAACCAATCAAAGAGTTCACATCTGTGCCCCACAAGGGGGTGCCCCACAATGCCCCACAGCACATCCCAACCTTGTATTGGGAATATCTACCAATGACAAGTACAAGAGATGATGGGACATCATCGGGAGATATTTCTAATACAAGGTCGGGATGTGTCGTGGGGCGTTGTGGGGCGCAGATGTGAACTCCCAATCAAATAGTATCATAAAATTAGTAACCAATCAACTGCTCATCATCTAAGCTTTGTCTCAACTATATGGGATCTAAGGCTGCAACTTGGGTCGGGTTGGCCCGAACCCAACCAAAAAAAAGTTGGGTTGGGTTGGGTCGGGTTAGGGTTAGGGTTGAAATTCATGAACTTGACTTTACTTTCAAGTTGGGTTAGGGCTGACCCCTTAGGCCACTCGACTCTATAGTACATGTCATATATAAAATATATGTTATATGTAATATATAACATACATTGATTTGTTTAGATGCATAATATTTGTATAGCCCCCACTACATAGTATCATGTATTTCTTTTAAGATAATCACTTCACTTAATCGTAATCGGGAAGACCAAAACCTTAATAACATTATTTTATGTTTTTTGAAAATTTTAGTCTTCATCTCCTCTCTGTTGTTTGTTGCCTATAAAAGATCTATCATAAGTCATAATTCATAATAAAGTATAGTCATTTCTAACACTTGTTTTTCTGAATTTTGTACCAAAAGAACAAAATAAAACATCAACAAACTAATACTAATGAAACATAGGATTAATATATGTAGTGAAAGTTGAGTTAAGATCTAAAATCGAGAAATTCTATTAGGTTTTAAGGGATGGGAAGAAGGTTGGGTTGGGCCCAACCCGAAGTCATTCGTGTTGGGTTGGGTTAGGTTGGGTTAGGGTTGAAGGAATTTAGTTAGGATTAGGGTTAGGGTTGGGGTTTAGAACTTAGGGTTGGGCTAGGGTTAGCCTCAACCCAACCTAACCCGGCCCGACTTGCAGCCCTAATGGGATCAGCTACATGAATTAGGTTTCGACATTCTATTCTCTTCAATGTTGTATCCATTTTGTTAAATTGGGTGCTTAAATCATTCATTACTTAACCCATGTCCTTTTTTGGTTTGCCCTTAGTTCTTTTAGATGGTCTTTGATCCACATTAATAATCATCTTAATCTTACTTTTTCTCATTTTATCACTTATTTGAGTCGCTCTGGGGCTCTTTCATATCACTTTATTTCTAACCTGGTCCTTACTAGTTGTTTATCCATCTAAGCATTTGTATTTCTATCACACTATACACAAGGAATCAAATTGGTTAAAATTCTTACCCTTTCGAGCATCATAAAAATCACCTTTTTACCACATATGTTTGTGGATTTTGAGGTACTTAACTCCATTCTGTTTATAAACTAGTGAATGACCCCGTACTAAGTACAGGGAATCACTAATGTTAAATTATTTAAAATATTAAATTTATATTTATTAATACTTTAAATAACTATTAAAATTTCAAGAAATATTTATTTAAAAAAATAGTTTTTCAATAATTATTAGAATATGGATAGTTTTCTTTTGTTATGATACATAGAGGGTTAATGATTAACTGAGATTGATAGAATGTAGGCATAAGTGGTTGTGGATAACCACTTTTGTATTTTCTGCATTTTTTTAGGAATGGATTGAAAATTGTGGTAGTGGGTTGTAGGCTTTAACAACTTCTCAGAAAATGTCATGTGTCTAGCTTTCTAGAAAAATGAGGCCATGTGTCTAAATGGTGGGGAGCTGTAGCCTGCTAGTGGGTTGTGGACTTTAGCAGGAATTTCTCAGAAATTGTCACGTGTCTAGCTTTCTAGAAAATGAGAAAGCCATTTGTTTGAATGGTGGTAGTGGGTTGTGGGCTTTAATGGCAACTTAAAAAAATGCCATGTGTCTAAATTTGAAAAAGCCACGTATTTGAATGGTGGGGGTTGTAGCCTTTGATGGTGTTTGGTATCGATGTAGCTTTTTGAAGAAATGGTGCCAGCTCAACATTGTAGATGTGTTTAATAAAAAAACACCTAAAAAGTTATTTGGTTGAACCGTTTATAAAAAAAAACACAAAATTTTAACATTTTTCATTTTCAAAATCGATTTTTCATTGTTTGGCTTATATCGTGCTAAGGTGTAAAAAAATCATACAAAATGTTTAAAGCAGATTTTGTCTCGTTTTTCAAGACAAAATTGTACAAAACGTTGATCTCATAAACTCTATCAATGCCAAACAACCCCTTTGTCCATGACGTGTACAAGTAGCCTTTGACAACATGTTTGGTTTTGTTTCTGGAAAGAAAAACAATTACCACATCAGCAAAATTATATTGTTTTTGCTGATGTGGTTGTTTTAAAAACAAAATGAAACATGTTGTCAAACACCCCATCAACAATTGCCACATCAGCAAGAGATTTGGGGGGCATTCTTTTTTTCAGATTTTGAGAGGGGGAAAGTTGGTCAATGAGATTTTGGTTCCCATTGACCAAGAATCCCATGTTCTTTTTTTTCAGATTTATGTGGGGACTAGGGAAAGTTTATTTTTTTGTGTATCACTTATGTGGGTAAGTGATACCCATCTCCTAGGTGGGTAAATAACTGTTCCACCTAGGGGGAAGTTGCCAACACTTGAATGGGACAAAAATGTCATTTTTAATAATGGATTTTCATGGCTAAAATGGCCATTGCGTTATTTACATGAGAAATAAAAGAATATGGGTAAATGTACCTACCCAGGTAAGTATTTCCCAAGAAAAACTTACCCAGGTAATTGCATTTACCCGGATAAATAACTTACTGAAAAGCGAATAGGGCCTTGAAGAGATCCATGTTTTTACTAGAGACAATCGAGTATAGACCCATGGCTATGAGGTAATAAAATTAAAAATGAATCTTCAAGCTTGGTAACTAAGATTGTTTCCACATATGATAATAGTGGAATTTGTGCAACAATTTCATGATTTTTTTTTTCATCCAAACGAATTAGGTTTATTAATTTAGTGATGGCTTTTTAAAGTTTTTTTCCCAACTTTCACGAAATTCATAATTGTCCTTCTCTTTCATAAGTGTTCATAATTTAACAATTGATATGGTGTTAACCCAAATCGAACAATGAAACGAGATTCATGTAGCCAACCCCATATAATTGGTGTAAGATGATGATGATGATAAATGGTGTGCATATATATGTTGGTGTAAGACTATAATGAGAGGAAAATCTGGGCCTAAGGAGCCCAAAACATCGTTACCACCTAAAAAATTATTGGGTCATATACATTTAATAGTAATTGTGAACATGCAATGCATCATGTGAGCCATATGCATATGAGACCTACTGACCTATCATCAGCAGCTGACATGACATATCATGACTGATCTAATGCTAGAAAATCACACTAATATGATGACATCTACATGATAGGTTCCATGTGGGTTTGTCAAGCAGTTCCTAGAAAAATATGATGTGCAACTTTTGATAACATTTTTTTCTGATGCTCACTTTGGAAGGAGTACAAATACAAATTTGTAGAGTACAAAACCTTGTATTTTGTATGTATTTATATTGTACATACTTGTATTTATACTCTTTTCAAACCGAACCTGAAGCTAAGCTTGGAAGGAGTGTAAATACAAATATATAGAGTGCAAATACATATAAAATAATACAAAATACAATGGCTTTGTACTCTATTTGCATTTGTACTCCTTCCAAACTGAGCTTGATGTGCAAATCACAAATTCATTCAATCCTCTCTCAGTTCTGGTACATTATTATCCACAATGGATTTTATTCAACCTAATTGTATAATACATATAAACACTTAAATTTTATATTCGGTTTCAATAAAGGTTATGACTTATGAAATCTAATATCAAACTCATTCGATTTCATTTTTATTAATAATATATGATATATACAATGATTGTTTTTATCTTGACATGTTAATGCCATTCAATATTCGATTGCAATCTGAATACAATTTGAATCTAAATATAAATGAATCAAATTTCGATCTACCTTATATTTGATTGATCTGATCCATTTACAACCTTGGTTTCCTTGTCGAATTTTGAATTTAAATCCCATCAAATGCAATTTAGGTACTTAAAAATCCACCCATTTTACATGCATGGACACATAGACACAAATTTAGATATTTTCTAAGGAACCATTAAATCCGACTAATAATATTTAACCGATCCAATTTGGATCTAGGTATAGCTCGTTTGAATCTTATTAGTTTTCAGTCAGTAGTGAGTACTCCTTAATCGCTGAATCCTGTTTTTTTAATAAATTCGAAAGGGGCTACACAAGATGGGGGGTAGCACGTCTCCAAGCATAAACAAATAAATTCAAGTTCTTTGGAAAGCTCACTAGTTGATAAATTAAAATTATTACCCACAAGATGAATAAGCCAATCTGCAGCTTGGTTTACCTCGTGGTAGACATGTCRGTACCTAATGTTAATATCCATCTGCTTGTTGAGACAATGGCACTCTTCGATGATGTGCTTGAGACTCCACAACGAAACTAGCATCCTCCCAAGGCAGCTGATGACAAGCACATTTAGTAATAATCGGAAGACCACGAAAATTGAGGGCAACATTATGAATTTCCAAGCTTAAGCCAAGTTGATGGAAGCATATCCAATAGGCTTTCATAACCCTCCCAACATGGTTTCTTGCAATGAAAGCAATGGAGCAAAAGCTGTTTTGCCCACAATGGGTAGTTGGGTACTATCAATTWGGATGAAATCCCCACAGAATGCACCCCACACACACATGGGGCCTGCTCCCTAGGGAACCCATTCCCACATCCCTCACATGGGACATTACAGTTGTGCATTTGGAATATTTTATGGGGAGATGCAAGGTTCAAAGTATCGGAAATGCTAAATGTATCGGAAAGAGAATTTTAAGAGGTATATTGGAATACGCCTTGGATATGCATGTATATCGGAGGTATTCATATATTAAATTAATATATTTTAATGGTTTTATGAAGAAATGCATCATAGTTAATTATAGTTTCATTAAAAAACATTGTGTAACTATAATTTATAAATTCTAATTCATAAGTTTTTAAGGGATGGGAAAAACTCAACTATCCTATCCAACCATAAAACATGCATTAACACAACTTCTATGTGAAAATATTGTTAATAATGATTTATTATTTAAATAATTGCTATTTATTTTTTTTTATTTTCAAAAATTACAAAAAGTAAATAGACATTGTACAATATATTCAATCTGAAGAAATTTTAATTGCTCTTAGGTTATGGTAAATCATCCATATATCTTTAATATATTCAATCATTGTGATTAGATCATAAAATATAATTAATTAGCATTTATTTTTAAATTCTAAAAATAGAAATAATATTGAAGAGGAAAATTCAATTGCTCTATGGATATGATAGATATCCATGGATCTAAAACACATTAAGTCTTTATAGGCAGATAAAAAAATTATATTTTCAAATTTTTTGTTATTTAATATTTTCCCAGATTAGTTCATAAAATTTCCATAAATATACGCATAATACAAAAAAAAAAGTGATTTTTTGAATATAAGAAATATAGGTCAACATAGATTTAAACATTTTTAAGTATTCAAGAAAAAAAATCATAAGATATTATGAAAATAAAAAAGAAAAAAACTTATTTTTACCATATTTCTTTCAAATTTTGAAAATTCTCCAGAAAACATTAATGATTCACACTTGTTTCTTATGCTTTTTACTTTTTTTATTTTTACACTCTAGGAATGATGTTTGGAGTTATAGAGTCATTTTGGGGGGGGGGGGGTGAAATAAGGCTTTCTTTCCCCTTTTATTTTTTGCCTGTATATTTTTCGTAGTGTATCCACCAATATGCTATTAATACACCCTCGATATGGCCGTTACAATTCAACACGGGTCCGATACGATGAAAAAAAGGATGATACCATTGATGTGGGAATGGTGTTCTATGGGTATGGGTGTGGGAACGGTTTGTGGCTAGCAAATTTAGAGAGTGATCCAGATTTGTCTATACCATCCTTATTCTCTTAGGCTAAGTTTGTCCGTGCTTATTTGGAAAATAAGTGCTTAAAAATAATTTTTTATTCTAACAAATGGTCATAAAACATTTGTATATTCAACTAGGGGTACTATAGGTATTTTTCAAAATATTTGGCAGGTCAAGACATGTCAAAAAGGAAATAAGTGTTTATTAAATAAGTACTTAAAAATTAGCCCAAAATTTGAACTTCTCAAATGAATACTTATTCTTCAAGTTTATTTCCAAAACGCTAATAAGTGCTTATTAATATTGTTTTGATCCAAGATAAATATTTATTCAAATAAACTTATTTTTAAATAATCACTCTCAATCTTGGCCCTAAGACTGTCTGGTTTGAAAGAAAGACAAATGCCCATGCTTTTCTTTCAAACCAAATAAGGGGGGTTAAGGCGATAAAAGAAAGACAAATGCGAGCTTTTAGGCTATGTTTGGTTTGAAGGAAAAGATAGGAAAGAAAGAGAAAGATAGGGAGACCTGTATCCCTTCCTTTCCCTACCTAACCAAATATGACTTTAAGGCTATGTTTGGTTTGAAGGAAAAAGTAGGAAAATGTAAGAAAACCTATATTCCCTACTTTTTCCTTCAAACCAAACACAGTGTAAGTTTTTAAATCAGTGTCTGGTTCGGTTTGACTTTGATAAATGGTGCATCCGCATCGGCAACAAAAGATCACGGATCACTACCCGGCTCAAGATCCAACACAGAAGAGCCTGAATCCGGCGTAGAATAAAATCAGATGCCAATCAAACGCTTCGTAAAGATGCCGCCAAAGGAACGCTAAATAGTAGATGATACGAATTCAAATTCAAATGGACGGCTCAGAGAATCGCGTCAGCTTAAAGCTACGTCCGAGATTCAAGACTATTTAGGGATCCTCGAACCCCCTCCCCTATAAATACTCCAAAATCCTCTCTCCCTCTGGCACGCTTTCACTCTCTCTCTACGCTTCTCTAATCTCTCTCTCCAATCTCTTTACTGTACAACGGAATTCTAACCAGCGAAACCATTGACGATGGTAGACTTCGTTTCCATTTTATATCTGTGTCTCATTTGTTTCTATCCCTTCACTGGGTTTTAGCCTTTGTCAGCTTGCATTTCGTTCTGCCTATCGATCTTCTCTTGTTTTGTTTTTTTGGTTGATTGGTCACTGTTTTCTACTAGGGTTAGGGTTTTGGGTTTGGCGTGTTGGGTTTCTCTTTTTCTTTTTTTTAGTACTTGATGATCGAGGCAGAGGCTTCATGATTTCTCTTCCTGTTTTATCTTGTCATGCAGGCTTTGCCGAACCAGCAGACGGTCGATTACCCGAGCTTCAAACTCGTCATCGTTGGTGACGGTGGCACAGGTATCGATTTCTTCACTGGATTCACTTTCAAATACCCAAGCTTCAAGCTCGTCAAATAAGGCTTTGCTTGGATAAATCTTATTAAAATTCTTTTTTTTTTCTCCCGGGTTTCCGTAACAGAAAAGCAAAATGCGTTTGCTAATGTGATTTTAGATTAGAAGTTAGATTTCCCAAAAAAAGTGGGTAGAGTTCTTCATTTTTTTTCCAGACGCATTCATTTACTTGTTGAAGAAAATGGTGCTTTTCAAGATAAAACGAATCCCGCCACCGTGCATGTGTGCCAGACTAAGCCACTGGCGTATATCTTTTAAAATCCGACTAGCCGAGTTGGAAAAGATACCCTCTGCTTGGAATAAAACGCTTTTTGAATTTGTTTTTGTTACTAGTGGTTTTGATTCAGTCGAAAGTATTTGAATGATGCAGGGAAAACAACTTTTGTGAAGAGGCATCTTACTGGGGAGTTCGAGAAGAAGTATGAACGTAGGTGACTCTGCCATGATGGCATTCCATCTTCTAGCTTTTTTTGTTTAAATCCATTCGTGTATTTGATTGGTTTTGTATTTTTGGTTGTTGTAAATAGCGACTATTGGGGTGGAAGTTCATCCTTTGGACTTTTTTACAAATTGTGGTAAGATCCGGTTCTATTGCTGGGACACCGCAGGGCAGGAGAAATTTGGCGGACTTAGAGATGGATACTAGTAAGTATTAATTACTGTATATGAGTGTTATGCTTGGGTTGTTTGCCAAAGGGTCTGTCAAAGGGTTTCTGGTAAGCTTACCCAAGAATAATATGTTTGAGAAGCTATGGTAGAATTCCATTATTTTTAACAATTGTTAGAAAAGTGAACATTTCCCTATAAAATTGGTTTATTTTCTGTTGCACTATTTTTCAGAGGAACATGTTTTTGCATTAATCCTTTTTGCCCTATATGATTGCTAAAGAGCTGTGGGATAATTCTAATTCCCAACTCCTGCATAGATTACATAATTATGATATCTCATCCTCTGGTGACATTATGTCATTTTGTTTTATCTTTGGACATTATTTCTTTTTAAAATTCGTGGTTTTAATGTGGATTTATGTTCATAAAATTTCGTGTATGTGATTCTGGTAATCATACAAGTTTAGAGGTGTACTTTATTTGAGTTAGGATCTGCTGACCACAACACATTGCTTGCCACTTTCACCCAGATGTACATTGGGAATATTGGTAATATAAAGTAAGTACAAGAGATGTTCCCAATGTGCGGCTGGATGAATGTGTCCAGCAATGTGTTTTGGTCAGTAGATCCGGACTCACTTCATTCTGTCTCTGTAGGCATATCTTACATTGGAATGGCATTGTTGAGATTGGAAGAGAGTTTTTATGGTATTTATTGATGGTGTTTTTATCCGTGCCTTACAAAATCACGCTTTGTATCATGTTGGATCAAAGAAATGTGGGTTGCTTGGAGCTATATTCCATGCTAGTTCTTTTTGTGTTTCATTCATCGTTCTCGTCATTTGATTCTTTGGGAGGAAGATTGCAATATCTTTCTTCCATTTGTCCATTGATTTTTTATGTTTATTTCTTCAGTAGGAAATGATTCAGTTTGATTGAGTATTCTCATAATAGCTTGTTTGAGGCTTGGTAAATGCTGTCTATATCATCTAATTTACATTCACCTTGGGTTCTGATGTTCAATTTTCTCTTCCATTGCCATTGTTCTCTTTGAATTAACATTCGTTTCTTGATAATGGGTTTGGTATTTTGATATTTTATCTTGAGTCTGAATCGATTTCTGAATATTCCCGTGCATATGTATCCGTCTGCAATATGCCTTCTTGCTATTCACAAAGCAACATGCTTGATATGTAGCATGTGCAGGATTATCATTACTTGAAAATGATATTTCCCATATTGGCTCATCCGCTTGAGTTAGTACAGAAATAGTTTTGCTTCTGCAACTTGGGGGTTGTTGGTACTGGGCATTATTCATAAAATTCAAATCTATTGTAGGGTATAGATGCCTAGGTGCATGGGTTATCCTTTTCCTCTTGTGTATCATGTAAACTTAGTCTGATACATCTCTGGTTTTGATCTTCTTGTGAGATGGCCATGTCATCTCCTTGTACCTCCTCATGGCCATGTCATCTTCTTGATCACTACTATTTTCTTTATCTTATTTTAGCAATGCATTTTCAAGTCTAGGATACTCTTTCTGTAAAATGTTAATTTGATAATCATCTCATGATTCATGTATTCAGATTTCAGACTGAGATTTCTGGTGCATTCTTGTGTTCACTCTTTCATGCATTTAGCAGGACATAAAGCTTTTCTGATATTTTCCAATTTTGTGTTAGTGATTTTGTAGGTTAATATTTTGGACTTACTAGTTGCTGCAGTTTGGTACCTGGTATTAAATTATTCTGTGTACTGAAAATACTATCTGCCATGCAGCATCCATGGACAATGTGCTATCGTTATGTTTGATGTCACTGCCCGACTGACGTACAAGAATGTTCCTACATGGCACCGGGATCTATGTCGGTGAGTGGAATAACTAGTGTTGTTTTTCCCTTTCTCTTTTTACCTCTGTAAATGTTTTTATGATCATCATCCCTTCAATCTATTGGCTACTATGTTTCTGAGTTTGTCTGTTGATGGTTGTAATTGCAGAGTGTGTGAAAATATTCCCATTGTTCTGTGTGGAAATAAGGTTGATGTCAAGAACAGGCAGGTGAAGGCAAAGCAAGTTACATTTCACAGAAAGAAGAATCTCCAGTACTATGAGATTTCGGCAAAGAGCAACTACAATTTTGAGAAGCCCTTCCTTTATCTTGCGAGAAAACTTGCTGGGTAATTCAATAATATTTTAATAATCTTATGTTCTATTTTTGCTTTCAGGATCTTGCGAGCAGTTGTAGTGAATCTGTACTGAGTTGTTTTCGTGGTGTAGGGATCCTAACCTCCATTTTGTTGAGTCTCCTGCTCTTGCACCTCCTGAAGTGCACATTGACTTGGCAGCACAGCAACAGTAAGCATTTGCCTCTGCCTTTTACATAGCAAAAATAAAACTAGTCAAATAACCAAAATCATGTTTTGTGATGTACTTGTGACGTGCATTCCCATTTAGAGCAGAAAATTTGATATGTAATTCACCTGTTCAGAGGTTGGAATGCACATTGATCAACCCTTAGAGAGGAGAGCCCGTTTATCCATTTTTCTCGGAAAATATATTGGTGCATTTTGTTAATATATCAGTGTTTCCAAACCAAGTATGTTACCTGGATGGTTGAAGTTGAACCACTAATGCAGACGACTGTCATGATCTCTCCTAGGTTTTAGATGTTGATTTAAATGATTTTTTTTGGGGGGTTGAACCCACTAAATTGGTTAATACTCTAGTAGTTGCACTAGTTTTGAGAAGTTTTTATAGTCTGTTAAGTCTCCTGACCTTCCTATGTGTAATGATGGTTATCACAGGCACGAGGCAGAGCTTGCTGCGGCAGCTAGTCAGCCTCTTCCCGATGACGATGATGATGCATTCGAGTGAAGGGATTGCGGCACCGATTGTTAGAGCTGGAGTTTAAAAGAGGCTAATGGCCTTCCCAGTGTCTGTTTTCCCTTTGTTATGAATTGGGTTGGTTCCCAAATTTTATCAAAATAGATGAATGCTTTGCTGTGTCAAATGTTGAGGTTAATGGTTACTATTAGTAAGAGGGAACACCGAAGTCGTAGTTGAAATTTGTAGGTGTTTGTGGGAGAATTCATTGTTAGTGGAACGCCCCCAGCTGGTGTTATTAAATGATCGCACAAAAGGTCAAAGAAGAGGATAGCATTTCCCATTATTTGATTTTGAGTGGGTTAACATACAACATCACAAACATTATATCCTGCTTGTTTTCAGGAAAAAAAAAAAAAGAAAAACAAAAGCCACCTTTGCTTCCAAGGTGAGTAGTCTACTTTATTCTTCCTTCAAATAATGAGGAAATTGTTACTATTATCTATTCTCTATGTACTTTTTATCTGGAAAGGTCTGGCTACATTAATATGATCACGATATATATATATATATTGAATTTGATCAAGATGTGTGGACGTCTTTTTTCGTCTTTTAAGCTGTGGAGAATTCTATAGTTGAAAGGGGCATAATTAATGTGTAATCTAATCCTTTGAGATAGAGATGGGATCTTGTGACGGTAGTAACTAAAAATATCGAACTTCACTAATTTAATCATTAACGGGCTGTTAATTAAATTGATGGTGATTTATGGCTCAATGCAATTGTATAATGATTTCATTAATTATTAGCCACACTGTCTCTGTTTGAGTTATATTGTTACCAATATTTCTCGTACATATTAATTTCTATTGAAAATCTATACTGAAAACATGATGCCTGAAGTGCTTTAAACGAGTCCGATCTCCTGTCCACGAGAACTCTACCCACATGGCATTGCAATGTTGAGGGCATACATCAGTGCCACCTTTGCATTTCATTTCAAGTAAAAATACAAAGGGAAAAACTATGACATAAAGGCATGATATGGGAAAAGCTTTGATCTTTCTATTTTTACGATTCAGATCAAGGTTCAAAGTATTGTTTACGTCCGCGGATACTTATTGTTCCAGACAGTGGGTGTATTGGGGGTCTGACCGGTTCAGCGGATGGAGGGCTCTTAGACCGGTTCCCCTGAACCAGTTTTGAAAAAATACAAAAAAAGGAAAAAACAAGTATCAAAATGCCTGATACGCCCCTACCAGCGTATCGGGCATATCGATATTTTGAACCTTGATTTAGATTCATTGGTTGTAAGTATTTTTGGTATAATGTCTTTCTGGCATTATAGTTGAATCTTTATACATTTATATGATGTTTGATAAATCCAAGGTTCAAAGTATTGGAAAGGTAATTTTAAAAGAAGTATCGAGTTGCGCTTTAAAAATGTATAGATACAGATGAAAATTCAAGATACATGTGTATATACTAGAAAATCCAAAAAAATCTTTAAAAATATGAACAATAATAAAAATGAGATTTATGTGAGTATAACTAATTTATTTAAACATAAAAACCATTCTTTAATGATTTATATAAAGTATTGGGATATAATTAGTAACCATTGAAAAATAATAGAAGAACTAAAATGTTTGTATATATACTAATATTTATTAGTTAATATTTTTTTTGAAATCAATTATTAGTTAATATTTATTTTATATAGAATTAGATAATATTTATTATGTATACAAGTTAATATATACCTTAATTTTTAATAAATCAATATAACTTGTATTCATCTTACTATTATATAAATATTAATAATCAAATTTATAGCATTTGTTGGGAAACATCCACCAAGGCAAAGATTACTTTAAGTATAAAAAAACATGTCTTTCTAATAAGTAATTGATGTTGGCATAATAGTTAATTAATTATTGTTATAAGTAAATGATTTGGGTTCGAAACTTGTTACTTTTGGTTTGTGAATTTTAACAAGTTATTTCACTTAAATAACATTTAATGACATTGTTAAATGTTGTAATCAAAGGTAATTTAAATGAGCATTTAATTAAATTATATTAGGATTTAGTGACGTCCCAAACTTTAAGACTTAATTAAAATTGATATTAACGAGAGAGAAGAGATAAATTAAATTTAAATTTAAAAAGAAGGAAATTAAATTCGATTGATAAATAATGCGTATTGGTCCGTTTCGTGTATGTATCGGCGCGCTTCGGATTGTATCGACCGATACATACCCGAAACGGCCCGATACAAAGCCAATACGAACCAGTATCGATCTGATACAGACGAAAAAATATGAAACCATGTAATTAGACATGTTCTGTGTATCAAAACTCTTCCAAAACGATATGTATCGGCCCATATTGGCTGATACGTTGCAAAATTTAAAACCTTGGATAAATCTAAAATCTGAAAAGTTAAAAAAGATTTAAAAAGTATCTGAAATCTGAAAAGAGACTTGTATTTTGATTTTTTAGAGGCTCTGAATAATGAAGGTTGTTTGTGTTGTATCAAATCTTCAACAACCGAAATTCACTAATTTCACTATTTTACCCCTAAATTAGATTATTCGGTTGCAACGACAAGAGGAGAAGAAGAAGAAGAGAGAGAGAGGCGAGAGTTCAAGGGTATTTTGGACTTTTGGCCAGGTCTGAAACTCATCTGAATGCGTTTAGTGCCTGGCCCATGTCTTATTTTTTCAAATCTACAAATAATTTTCAAACCCAAATTCAGATACACTTTTAAACACCTTTGATGTCTGAAAAGCAATATTTTCAAACTTCAAAAATCTGAAAAATATTATCAAACGCCACGTTAATTAGACTATTTGGAGTTATTGGAGCAAATGGTGCGGTGCTTACTTGGTTTAGTAGATGAAAGGTTATATGTATGTGAATCAAGTGGAAATTTTCCACAACACATACTCAGCATTCATCCATACCCAATGTATTTTAAGACGAAATAGCACATTATACGTGGGGTGTGGTGTCTAATTCATCTTCAATCATATCACCACACCTCACTAAGATATCAAGCCACCCACATGGCAAAGTCTGTTTGTTTTTTATTAAAAATTAGTAGGCACACATAAGCTAGCCAACCAGCTACAGTCCAACAATATAATTTCTGATAAGAGAATTGACAACAAGCTATTATGGGGTCCAACATCTAATTGCTATAGAGGAAGCCATATAATAGTAGAGGTGTCAATTGTTCAGATCTATCCAACAATACTGAACTGCCCCCATTGATAATGTTGGTTTTGGTTCTGACTTCTTTGTTTGTGTGTTGATCAGTAATTGGGTTGAGAGTAGTTTTTACTACCAATTAAAATCCGAACTTAACGGTCTCCTGTTTTTTCTCATAAATCTTGCTAATTGCTATGTCTATAAGGGTCAATTTCATATACAATTTACAAGAAGATTTTGGTTAAAATCACTTTTTTCTACCAAATATATAAACTGTTTATTAAAAAAATGAACTAAATTATTATTCTAATAGGTAATTATTGATATCTCCGAATTATCCCACTTAATAATTGGTTCAGTTCTGAGTCTCTCTTATAAAACCGATTAATAAATGGTTTGGGAGTGGTTCACCCTGTCCCAAACCAGACCCGCTCCATAGATAGCTCTATAAAGTATGGTTGAGATCCACTTTCAAAGTTTTTGTTAGACAAAGTGTAAGTACTAAGATCAAATTTTCACATTGGTAATTTCAAACTTTCTATTTTTTCAATTGAAAGGTCGAGCAAAAAACCAATGAATTATGAGAGAATGACCGTTCAGCCCAGAGTCAGAATTTATAGGCTTAAAGGACAGTTAGGGTAGGTGTCAACTCGGAATTGATGCCAATTCACAGACGAATATAGATGCATAAGGTGTGGGTTTTTGACCTTCTGATTGTTTATAGAATTACAACAGAATTCAGAATTCTGCATTAGGCTTGTCCGTACTTCTCCGATGAATTATTAAGGCTAATTGGCAGTTGGAATAGGCAAAATGTGTTGCACTAGTCTCAGAATTGGGTGCCCAAGTAATTGGCACTTTCTTCTTATCTCCTTCGATCCCCCTGTATCCGGAATTGACCTTCGCGAGAGCGCGAATCTCTTGAGAGCAAAAACTCCGAGAACACGAAATCTAACCATGCATAGGGAATGCTTTCCTTACATAGATCTTAAATTCATGGGGAGATGTTCGCAATGTGTGATTGGATGCCCATGGTTGGAGAGAGAAGATCCCAATCACTTTTATTGCATTATTACTCTGGTCCTATGCTTCCATATATGGAGGGACATCAACTGACCATTTCAATTAATGGGTCATCACCATGCACATTCTTATTGGAAATGAATAAAAGAAATAGAGTTTGAGAGCCAGCTGTGGAGAATTTTGAGAAACCAATTTGACTTACTACCAAATCTCAACTCGAACCAGTACTAATATATAGCTAAGTTATAATCAGAAAAGAGAAGAAAGTTCATTAGCAATATCCCTTTCCTTATCCACCGATGGTTCTTGCTTATCATACATCCTCGCTCTCAAGAAAAATTTGGCTCTCCACAGTGCTCTCCCTGTGTGACATGTTTGTCCATATGAATACCATGTGACAGTAACCAAGTGGTCCTACAGGATGCTTGGCTGTGTGGGCTAATCAGGTAAATTCCTTAAGAGCTTTCCCTCAATGTTTTGTCTCTCTTATCTGGAGAAGCCTTGAATTTGGACCCAATCTCATCAATCCCTAAATTTGATTTGATTCTACTTAAACATATTTTCTCATATATACTTATAATTAATATTGTCACAGTCAGTAGAGTTGGCATACATGTGTTTTACCAGGGGGTGTTCAATTCGAGTTTCATACAAGTAATTTCAGCACATCTTGTTGATAAAATATTTTGATCATTTTTAACTTAATTTATTTATAGTATTTAATATCCAATTACAATCCAAATTTGATTCGGATAAGATTTGTATTGAATGGATTATCCCATTTGATTTTATCTGTCTAAAGCTTCTATCAGAAATTGGTAACATCACTACATACAACATTCTTTGACAGAATTTCTTAGGCTGTGTTTGGTTGTAATGTAAACGCAAATATGTACACTACATATTTACTCATTTTTTGGTTCATCAGTATAAACATGATCCACATTTTAAATCGTTTTTGCATTCATCTTGTTTGTTTGAAATCGGTGCAAATTGTGGGCCCATCATTATATGCTCCAACTATCTTATGCTCAAATGTCTTAACTTTTGTCAAAATGTTAATTATCAAAAGAATACAAAATTGTATCCAAAAAATAGGTATAGTAATGCTCTCTTATCAAAGTATAAAAGTGTCAGAAAATATATTTTTGCTTTGATAATCATTACTTTTTTACGTATCAAATAAACGCTCGCAAACGCGAACCGGGGTACATAAATACCCCGGTTTGGCGTTTGTATCGCAAACAAACAGAGCCTTAGGCTCAGT